AGCGGGCGCCCTCGGTGCGTGGAGGTGCTGCCTGGCTTCCCGGGGGGTGCGAGCTACAACGGGGAGCGCTTGTTTCGGAGGTGACACGGGGACACGCTCCGGGGTGGGGGAAGCCGCGCCGGCGATCGCCTCTTAGATGTTGGACTCGAGCGAGATCCTCTTGCGCGTGATGTGCTCCAGGTGGGCTTTCTCCGAGGTGTCCAGCTCGATGTTGTACTTGGCCAGGATTTTTAGGATGGGGCGAAGCTTCAGCCACCACTGCTCCTTAGGGATGCGGTGCCTGGGCGAGAGAGAGAGGGCGGCGTGATGGTTCCGGATGGAAACAACGATGCATCGCCCCGGGGAAGCGTTCCCAGCCTGTTGTATTTATCCTTCCTGGGGCTGGGGGGAAGAAACGGGGACACCTACTCGAAGTCCGTCTGCTCCTTGAGCTCGGTGATGGGCTGGAAGACGAGGCTGCGCTTGCGCATGCCCAGCAGACAAATCGAGTCGGCCGTGTTGGCGAAGATCCGACCTGCGAGGGGAGGCGGGGAGCGGGCTCAGCGTTTTTGGACCCTCTGGGAGGGGAGAGCACCCCTGAGCACCCCCAAAAATCTGCAGGGGAGCCCTAAGCCCTTTGCATTGAAATATCGGAGCACTTGTGCGCCTTGGGAAAGAGCCGGGGGGGGGGGTGTGTGTTTTTTCCCCGCCCCCCCCCCCCCCCCCCCCGCAGCTGTGGGAAGGGTAGGGGGCTTCGGAAACAAGGCAGAGACCCCCCCGGTGCAGCACCCACCATGCCGGGAGCACTCCTTGATCTTTCCAGTGATCCAGGCCACCGCCTTGGCACCCATTTTGGTGCCGAAATTCCGGTCGAAGGGGGTCGGGGTACCACCCTGCGCCGGAAAAGCCACCAGGTGAATGGAAGCGGGGGTAAAACCCTGGGCGAGGGTCTCCAAATCTGCAGCCCCTTCCCTGGGGGGGCTGCGTTCCCGCTGCCCCGGGGGTGGGGGGGTCCGTACCTGCTGCATGTGCCCCAGGACATTTTTCCGGCAGTCGAAGATGCCCTTCCCTTCTTCCGAGTAGAGGTTGTAGATGAAGTCGGTGGTGTAGTTCTCGTTGCACCGCTCGTTCCTGCGCCAGGCGAGGGAGGTGGGCTCGCGGGGGGCGGCACGAGCGCGGCAGGTCTCAGCCACCCCCCTCCGTCCCATCCCACCCCGGGGACCTACCTGAGCACCAGCCCCCTCTTCACCGTCGTCTTCATCTTCTCAGTTAAATGCTCCACGTTGACCTACGTGGAGCACGAAACGGGCGTTGGGGGGTGGGCTCGGAAATGGGAATAAACGTGGCCCCCGGGGCTGCGGCGATGCCCGGAGTGGGGGGACGCAGGGTGTGGGGGGTCCCCAACCTGCAGGTCGTGGATGTTGAAGTGCTCCTCGTAGATGTAGGCGGCATCGGCACCGCCCGCCAGCCCCGCCATGGTGGCCAAGTAGCCGCAGAAGCCGCCCATGGTCTCGATGATGAAGACGCGGCGCTTGGTCCCGGCCGCCGACTGCTTGATGCGGTCGCAGGTCTGCGGAGGTGGAAGAATTGGGGTAGGGGAAAAAGGGATTTAGGTTAATGGGTGGTGCTGGTGTTAAATGGGGAGGGGGCCGGGGAGCGCGGGGCCGCACCGTGGTGATGGTGTTGAGCGCGGTGTCGGCGCCGATGCTGAAGTCGGAGCCGGGGACGTTGTTGGAGACGGTGGCGGGGATGATGCAGAGCGGGATGCAGAGCTCCTCGTACTTGGCTCTCCCCTCCATCAGCTCCAGGCTGCCCGTGAAAGCCTGCGGGACGCGGGGTGTCGGCGCGGGCACGGCGCAGGCAGCTGCCCACCCCCTGCCGCCACCGCTTCTCGGCTCACCTCGAAGCCGCCGATGATGATCAGCCCGTGGATGCCGAAGGTGCTGATGTTGGCGCTGATTTCCTCAAAATATTTCTTGGGCAAAGTCCTGGGGGGGTGAAACCGCCCTGGCTGAGCCCGCCCGGGGTGGGGGGCTCGGCCTGGGGACCCCGCCATGAGATCCCCCCCTGGGAGGAGCGTTACCTCTTCGTCCCCAGTTTGGATCCTCCCAGCCCCGTCCAGCCGCCGACCCTCTCCCAGCTGATCTCTTCCACCTGGGAGGGGAAAGCAGCAAGTTGTGGGGGGACGGGAGAAGGATTTTGGGGTGCACCGGCCTCCCCGCGACCATATCGGAGCGATATTGGGGTAACCCGCTGCCCCCCAGGCTGGGGGACAACAGCGGGATGAGCCAGGGCAGGGCTGGGATTCGGAAGGGGATTGAGCGTCCCCATCCCGGGGGATCCCTGTCCCGATGGGGCTGTGGCTGCCGCTTTTCGGGGCCGTACCCCACCCCGCGCACCCCCTTTTCCCCGGGGCTCCCACCTTCCCGTAGGCGAGCCCTTCGAAGCCGTCGTGCACCGCCAGCATCCGGTGCCCGTGGATGAGGGCGGT